TGTGTGTGTGTGTGTGTGTGTGTGTGCGTGCGTGTGCAATTTAATATCTGTTGCACTGAGGCAAACATTGGGTGAATTGACAGAATGAACTCATTTAGATGGAGGTCAGACACTTTGGTGTTTGAAGACTGATATTGTTTTGCTCAAGGATTCTTAAGTGCTTTGGTTGGTTTACAGTACAGGAGTAGTGAGATGTAGATGGCAGTAAGAAAAAAATCCTACCAGCTTTAGTTTTCATACAGTAAGAGGTCTCTTGGAAGAGTGCCAAGACTCTTTGCAAAGAGCAGGTGGGTAGGACAGAGTGGAGGTAGTGAAATACACTGTTGGATCTGAGGTGAATCTGAAAAATGTCTAAAACAGGCTCTTGGACAACTTCATTAAACTCCACCAGGTTGAACTTGTGATTCCTCTACTGTAGTGTCCATGCTATTGATATGCCATCCAATGCTTGGTTATACAGCAGTCAGCCAGCAGTTACAGCTAGCCTGTGAGCATCACCCCTGTGCTCATGTGTCAGCCTTTATAGCATCACACACATTACTGCTTGATTGTCAGCCCTTTGTTCAAAAGCACATCTGCTTGTGAATGCTTCAGTAAGGCCCTGCCATGGAGCTCTTTCTCTGAGGCTTTGCTGTTAATATCAACATCTACTTACACAGAGCAGTTGGGATTCTCATGGGTGGATTCGACTCTTTGCTATGGCTTTCAAACAAAATCGCTCGATGTGCTGCAGTTCCTGTTAGTGCTGCGCAGAGTCTTATGTTTCCCTTTTCAAGAATAACAATTACCTTTGGGGTTCATCCATAGCAAATTTAAAGAATATTATTTGATTTGTCTGAGCAAAACAGTTATTAGCTGTTACACAATACAGCATCGCCTTCCCTCGTGTGAGTTCCTGATGCTCCAACTCTGTTTATCTCTGTGATCTGTGCTCGGCTGTTGTAGATGCCAAATTCCTATAAACACAACCAAGATATCAGATAACATTGCTTTTTGTACTTGAATGAATGTTAGGATGCTTGTGCAGCTTAAGTATATAGCACAGTTATTAATATTATTGTCAGTACTAAAGTCTCTCTGGCTCTTTCACTCTTTATTTATGCATGTATACATGTGTGTGTTCGTGTGTGTGTGTGTGTGTGTGTGTGTGTTTGGAGAAAGATACTGTGCAAAAGTTTAAGCCCACGTCTAATTTATTTTTATTCTTCCAAGGAGCCAGACTTTCGTGTAATTTTTTAAAGTTGTTTCGATCAGTAATTCTACAGGCTTTGTGGAGGTCTTTCAAAACTCAAAACATTTCATCATTTTCACAGGAATTTTTGTGTTTGTTTATTAAGCCATTTAATACAGCCCTATGTATTATTAAAGCATAACACATCTTAATCAAGGGGCATGACACATCACAGCAGCTCCAGTTTTAAATTGTATCTTTATCCACATTAACTCACTTTCTTTAGTTGAATCTAAGAAAAATGCCAAAGATAACTCAGTATTAAAAATTGTATTGGTGATTCCCGAAGAGCGATTAGTATAACATCATACATATTTCAGCATGATGTGCAGTGTGTCCATAGAAAACTGAGAAAATTTGGAGACACTGAAGTGGAGGAAAGAAGAAATGGTAGGCCTAAAAATGATCTACAACAGATGCACAGTATTTGAATGTCATGTTTTTAAGAAACAGGCGAAAATCCAGCGAAGACCTGACACAGCACCTGAGATGCATCTGACCCTTCAGTTGATCCATCTGCTGCTCACTGAAGCCTCATCTGAAATGGTTTTAGTGGATTTCTGGCTGTCAAGAAGCTGTTCTCAAGGTAGAGAAACAAGGAGAAAAGGCTGAGGTGTGCCAAATTACACAAGAACTGGACCGTAAATCAGGT